TTTTCATTCAAGATTGGATCCAGAATTATTACATAAAAGGATCAATTTCTTCATATCTTCTTAGGTTTATGGTTCTAGTATGTTCAGTACCACAACTGATGTCTTCTGTCCAGTTTATTGGTTAAGATGATCGCCTTCTACAAATAATAATAAATTTTGAATATCATAAGTAAATAAAGTAGATAAATATTTTCATTAGTACATTATTAGTATTTAATCTCGCATTATCTTGTTAGAGATATTTAATCTCAAACTTTATCTTGTTTAAAGTCTTGGACCTTAAAATAATATTTTTTTCTTAATATTTATTATTTTCCTTGTTTAGGTCTAAAATCCAAAAGCATTAATGATCTGGTGAAGGTCATCGTAAGAGAGCAATTTAAAGTCTTTCAGAATGACGTGCAAGAGACTGTGGCGCAGCTCTTCAAGACTGTATCAAGTCTATCAGAGGACCTGGAAAATACCAGGCAAATAATTCAACAAGTGAATCAGTCCGTGGCTTCAATAGCTGTCCAGCAAAAGTCTGCTTTAATCCAGGAAAATAAGCCCACTTTGACTGATATAATAGACCTAGAGAATCGCATTGTTAATGTAAGGCAAGAAATGGCCACTACATGTGAGAAGCCTGTTAAAGAACTAGAAGCTAAGCAAGCTCGTTTAGAAGGTGCTCTAGAACAAGAACACAGGAGGGTTGTTCTGTATTATGAATCCCTAAATACAACTCTTGCTAAAATGAAGGAAGTGCGCGAGCAGCTTTTATCTCCTGAAAGAGAGTCAGACAGGGAGAATGCTACCTCTGCAGAGACAGTCAGCAACAACGTCACCTCATCCATGGCTGTTCTGTATGAGAAGGTAAGCAAGCAAGGTTTGATGTTGCTGCAAATATTTGATTATTTTCACACCCAAGACAGCAAGATTAACAATCTCACCTTCAGATTGGAGAGGGAGAAAGAAACCATCAGGAGCGAATGTGAGGACATGCTAGCTCAGTGCAGACATGACTTTAAATTTCAACTGAAGGGCACAGAAGAGAATTTACTGGTGTTAAACCAAACACTGGCTGAGGTTCTCTTTCCAATGGACAATAAGGTGGATCAAATGGGTGAGCAACTGAATGATTTGACGTATGACATGGAGATTCTTCAACCCTTGCTTGAGCAGGGTGCATCACTTCAACAGACAGTGACCCGTGACCAAACCAGAGAAGCAGCAGTTATAAAGAAAAAGGTGGAAAATCTGATTAGTGCGGTCAACAGTCTAAATTTTCTAATTAAAGAACTTACAAAAAGACACAACTTACTTAGAAATGAAGTACAGAGCCAGGGTGATGCCTTCAAACAACAGATCAGTGAACGTGCACTGGAAATGGAAGATGGCCTAAATAAGACGGTGACTATCATGAATAATGCCATTGATTTCATTCAAGATAACTATGTGCTGAAAGAGTCTTTACCTACTATCAAGTATAATCCTGAAGCCCATCACACATGCCACCAAAATATGGAAACCATTTTGACATTTATTCCCCAATTCCAACGTTTGAATGATTCCATTCAAATGTTGGTCAATGACAATCACAGATATAATTTTGTCTTACAACTTGCCAAGGCCCTTGCAGATATTCCTAAAGATGAAAAACTGCATCCATCCTACTTTCAAAATATTTACCAAATATTCAATAATACCACTTCCCAATATCAGGAAAATATAAGTCATTTGGAAGAAACTTTAATCTCAGCCACTAAAAGTTTTGAAAATTTTGGAACTCGGCTGCAAGTCATTGAATCTAAAGTGAAGCAGACACTCATACCTTACTATATTGCAGTTAAAAAAAGCATGAACACAAATGAGAGAGATCAAGCTCTTCAACTACAGGTATTAAATTCCAGATTTAAGGCCCTGGAAGCAAAATCCATCCACCTTTCAATTAATTTCTCTTTGATTAACAAAACTCTTCATGAACTTCTAACAATGTGTCATAATGATTCTGCAACTTTATCTGAACTAAATGTTACCACACCTAAGTGGATTAAAGGTTCCATGCCAGTTAGTCTACAGAAAAGTCTGATGGAATTTGTGGAATCAATAATTGAAATAAAAACTCAAGCTGCCCTATCTAATTTCACTCAGTATATAGATCGCTTATGGTCTGACAGTCTGGCAAACGTTGCTGAATCTCGGAAGCAAGTGAAAAAGCTGAAGACACTTAATATGCTTAAGAAACCAACAGTGAATCTCACCACCATTCTGATAAACCGGACCCAAAGAAACACAGACAACATTGTATATCCTCCTGGTAAGT